GGTAGTAATCCAGGGGGCTAGGGGAGCAAGTGGGGGTGGGGCACGTGGGCCTTGGACAGTAGGGCACGTGGGCCCTGTTGGGGGCTGTGGCCCCTGTTGGGGGGGCTGTAGCCCCTGTGGGGAGGAGTGAAGCATGTATTCATGAATTCATGAAACATGTATTTAGAATTAACTTTATTATTATGATAGAGACACTGGTAGTCTTCCAAATTGCTTTAACACTGTAGATATTAATAAAAAATTGCCCAACTGATCACTGTCTCTCTGTCTCGCTCTAGTGGTCTTCTGTTTTAATTGTGGAGGAACATGGATTTTGGGGTATATTACAGAGTGACTTTGGGATTTTTTTTCAGGGATTTTTCAGTTTTCCAATAGGGAGCACCAGAATTCCTGCTAGGGAGGCCAGTGTCACCAGGTAGCCCTGAGCTACTTTCCAGGGCAGCTTTTTGTACTGATGGGGCCAGGAGAGAACAGCTCTTTATACTGCTGGAGACAGCACAGGTGCTGGCCCTGGGCTCTAGCTCCCTGTGGCTGAAGATCCAGAAGGAGCCAGGCAGGGTTATTTTGCTCCAAGTGGCACAGTTTGCTCCCCAAGTGGCACAATTTGCTGCACATGCACTGAGGCAAAAAGCCCCGGCTCTAATTTGCACTGGGGCTTGCACCGGGCTCTGTTTGAGCTGCTGGAAGCGCACGTGCTTGCTTGTGTGGATGTGCCCATGAGGTACTTTCCAGCCCACTTTCCTATAACTTTGTTGTAGAATTTTTTGTTTGGTCAGAAATTTCCTAACATAATTAGAATATGGCCTGAACATAAAAACTGTAATTTTAGACCAGAGACTAGTTTTATTGTAAATAACACAGATTATATTTAAACACTGTAAAATCTTGGAAGCGTTTGTGTGCGTGTGTGTAGCTTCTGAACTCGCTTATATGAAGAATCTCTCCTAGTGACCTTCTTCAGCTTAACAGATGCTACAACAGAAATCAAGAAAGTCGATAAAAACTGAATACAGCTAAAAGTATCAAGAAGCGAAATCCACAAAATAATTCATATATGTCATTTTAGCTTTGCAGTCATAACTGTTAATAGTCTAAAAGAAAATATACCTATAACCTGCCAAGGTATGGCACTTTACTGTAAAACTTTCCCTAAAATATGATCCCGTGGCCCCTTCTGCATATTACACAATTAACTGGTAAACTGGGCAAGAAATTTAGACTGGCCACATTGTGCAGAGTAATCATCACATGATAAAATGACTATTCAGTTATAAAAAGAGCCATCCAGCTATAAAGTTAGTGCTTGAAAATGTGTAACAGCTCTATAGCTGGTTTCTATCCAGCTTTAATTTGAACATGTAGCAGAGCCTTATGTTACTTTATTCATCTATAGGTAATAAATGTGGGTCCAGGGGGTGTACAAAGTCACCTTGTGTTTAGACTAGGGTTTGGAAGTCAAATCTGGACCAGAGTTCACTATTCACTTTTTATAACTGAATAGAAGATAATTTATGTGTGTTTTGAGATAATATTTCTGTTTGCCTGATTAATAGTGCTTTGGCCACTTAAGAAAATTTGTGCGTTTTATTTATTATTTTAAATGGTGTTGGTGTTCGGAAATTCCAAGTCTAGATATATTTCAGCAACCTGCCATATTTAATTAAACAACATATTTATATTAAACAAACTGAAAAAACATTGTTCTTAGTGCAAAAGGTTCTCTGTTTAAACATCTGAGTTTATTTTGTGTCTTGAAGTAGGAAGACAACACTGTGACCACGTTGAATTTGGACATTAAGAACATATTCCTTTTTCTTTGGCAAATACTACATCCTGGGTTAATGTATTGTAAACAAATATTCTTGTGTTTTGGGTTAAATATTTAATGCCGATATGTCTTTTATTGGTTTCCTGTATAAATAGAAAAAGTAGCATTTTTTAATAGTTTAACCTTGATTATTTATTCTGGTTACTGTATTGTAAACATATACTGTTTTGTTTGAGACAGATTTTGTTCCAAACACATCTGATGATGAAAGAAGGTATAAAATAGGAAATCAGGCAAATGTTGGATTGTTTAATCTGGACAAGCTGTTACAAGCTCTAAAACCTTTATTGGATTCCAGACAAAAGCAGCTGTAAGTAATCCTTGAAATATCTTTATATTTAAAAGAACTAGTGAAATTTGATGCACCATAATAACCACATGTTTAAGAGAGAAAATATTTTCTTTTTAAGGAGCATGGTTTCTATAGGGAAAGTGTATTTATATTTGGCTGATTAGGGTCATTTGGCTTCTTAAAAATGTATACATTTAATTTATTTGCATAATTACTTGAAAAGATTACCATCCAAACAAAAGTGTTTAAAAAAGGTTGGGAGAATCCCCTAATATGGTGACTGTGGGAGACTGTTTCATAATTGCCAAGTTAAACTTGTATCAGCTAAAGAAATGTTTCATCTTTCAGTGTGAACCTGGCCTTGGGTAGTATGAGTTCATGGACAGTAACATTTCTTTTCTTTTATAGGGCTTTTCAGATTCTGGAGGGATACTCTAGTCACTATTATCTCCGGTAAGCATTTCCCATAACTCAGATTTTAAAGAAGCATATACTATATTATGTCTTCAGATTAATTTCCTCATTACTGTTCCTGCTTTCAGTTTTACAGAACTATTCAAAGCAAAACTAGGTTTCCTTGGGGAGGGTAAAGATGATCACTATTTGATTGCATTCCTCCTAAGAGTGAGTTTAATATTATTCATTCTTTTGATAAGTATTTGAACAAATTTTACTACTTTAAAAAGACTGATAGAAATGTACTTATTTCATTAGCTCATGGAAGATACAAAAGCTGATTTTACAATGACATTTCGACAGCTTAGTGAAATTACTCAAGACCAGCTAAAGGAACTCCATATTCCCAAGGTATTTATTTGTATGATAGGAATATATCATTAGCTTTTTAATTCACTTTTGCTGCAATGACATTTTAAAATAAAATGGATGAATAATGAAAGATATATACTGAAAACTGTGGGGGTCAAAATTTCCAGAACAGGCACATGTGAACATTCAGAAAAATGTATCCACGCACACCTCAATTTGCATGACTGCTGGCACACATCGCATGCCACCATTGCTCACATTAGAAGTGAAGACTGATATTAGAAAACCATTTTCCGACTTTCACAGCTGCTTTTAAACAATAGAAATATTAATAGAAATGCACAGATCTTAGTGAAGGAACAGCTAATAATACTATGTCATAATGCATATACAGCGCCTTACAGAATTTGCAGAATAAGGCTCTTATTTTCCAAACACGTTTAAGAAGCTCTAAGTGAGCTACTCAGTAGCTTATATTTCTATGTAGGTGTTCACTAGAAGTATATTTTCAAAAAGGTTGATTATGTTGTGCATGCAAGGTATCCCATGTCCTTAAACACTGAGAGAGCTTCTTTAGAGTTTGAGTAAGAGCTGAACACCTTAGAGCAGGGATCAGCAACTTACAGACCCTGGGCTGGATGTAGCTTGTGAGGCAGTCTGACTTGACCAGGGGTGTCGTGGAAGCTCGGGTGGCACACAGCTGGGTATCTGCAGCAAGGCATGGGGCGGGTGGAGGTGGAGATTTGCAGCCTGTGGCTTGGAACTAGATTGCAACCTGGCTCTGGGCAGCAAAATGTTGCTGACTCTTGCCTTACAGCATCAGGCCCAAAGTGTACATCAGGGAAAACAAGGGATTATATACACAGAAGAGAGGTTCCTTTACCAAAGGAATTCTTAGGTGTGCATTTAGCTATTTCCCTCATGCAGTTGCCTGCTTGTAATGCACATGAAATGACCTTCCTTTTAAAACACTTTAAGAAAAACACTGTATAAGAACTAAATTTTATTCTTGTATGCAGCAATAAGCTCCTACTTTTGAAAATATGGTAAAAGGAGTATTTGAGCCCTATAACTTGTAGGCCGTGTTCTAGGATTCAGTCCTATGGTTAGAAATCACTAAAATAGCCCAGATCTTCAGGTGATGTAAATTATACATTAGCATTCCATTCTTTTCTATAGCGATGTACCAGCTTATATCAGCAAAGACTCAGCTTGGATTTCTTTTTCTTTTTAAAAAATACATCGCCAAACATAAAATTAAGTGTTTACAACAGTCATAGTAGTCATTTCAATGTACACATATATCAGTAAAATTTCTAATAGTTTTGCTCACAGCACTGGCATTCATAGAAATCAATTTAATTGGATTAAATTTAATTGTAATGTAATTAAATTGGTTAAGGCTTCTATGGCACTTTGAATAAGTGGGAGACAATTAGCCATGTTAGTCTGAAGGCAGGGCAGAGATGCACCTTTATAGACTAACTATCATTATTTACTCAAATTTCAGGTGACCTTGAATTTGAGATCCCCCCCAATAATTGGATTCTGTACATGGAAAATTTATAAATTTGTTATCATTTTCCATGTATAGAGTATAATTGGACGAGTGTTTTTAATTTATACCCCCCCACTGCTACTGGGGAGCAGGCAGTGGGGGGCCAGGTGGTATAGAGAAGTCAAGGAGCTTGCCCCCTGCTTATGCCTTCCCCCTGCCTGCCTTATTTATGGTAAATAAGAAAGATATATAGAGCACAAGCTTACTTTGAGTAAGTGACACAGCAGAGTGACAAATATAATCCAGTATTAAATGCATGTAGTAGGTTGCTGTAAGAGAAGTGCTGTTTTACACATAGCCTGTTCTTCTAGGAGATAATGATGGTGGAGTTTGTAAAATAATTTTCCCTTTAGAATTGCCTGTTTTATTTTAGGCTTTCAGTGTCCATTTCCATGGCAGCAAAGCAGTTAAGAATCTGGTAGATTTCAAAGGGAGAACAAAACAGGGAATTCCTGTTTCACAGCAGCAGCTACAGATTTAAAAATCTAAAATGCTCTGATACCTTCAGTGTGTTTAATCCTAGCCCTTGCAAACACGATAAACAAATATTAAGGTCCATGAACTGGCAAAAACCCTACCCTAACTCAGACCTGCCAAATTGAAGTCTTATACCCAGCTTGTGTCCCTATCGCTGTCTTGTGTCCACATGATTGCATCAATCTTAATCCCCACCAGAGTCCACAGAGGTTTACCTAACCCTAAATCTGCCAAGTATAACAAGCTGAACCCAACCCAAATCCACAGGTCATTCCTGACTCCAAGCCTGGCCCAGTGCAGGCCATGCTGCTAGCACCAAACCTAATGTTAACCAGGTCCCTCCAGGTCAGGGTTGTCTTTGTGGTGGGGGCTGCACCCATCCTGCAGGGGGTGGTCCCTTGTAATCCCTACACACCATGTGGATGGTGCCAGTGGCATGCAGTCTCCCTGCTTTCTGGGCAGGGCTGGTGATGCACAGCCCTCCCCTTCCATGTGATAGTGGCTGCAGGGGCCACAGGTTGCATGTTAACCTCTCATGAGACACCTGCTCTTGGTAATCCAGAACCTTAAATTTAACTTGGATTCACCAAGCCTGAACTCACCAGTTGCTCCAAACACCTAATTCCACCTATTGCTACATGTTGCCACACTACCTTGTGCCTGACACCTTGCAGCCCCAGCACTCCTGATTGTCCCCCTCAACTGCAGAGCCAGACCCAGGCAAGTCTAGAACACGGGAATGTCTTTTCTTTGTTCCCTGCCATCCCAGGGCTACTTGTAGCTGAGCCTATTTTCCATGGCTAAATAGTAAAATAAAAGGTGGAAAACCATCCAGCAGCTGTAAGAGATGAGCAAGGGTAGTACAAAGACTTCATGTAATGCTGTCCCCGGCAAGGGAGAAGTAACTGAATAGGTGGAGGATGTAATATTTTGATAAGGAATGAACAGTATACATTCCCAACAGGCAGCTCATGTGTGACAAATCAGGAAGGAAAGGGCTACTGTGGATTGCTCTGGAAGTGTTCTTCACCTTGTCTACAAAACCCGTAGATTCTCGGTATTTTTTCATCTACTCACAACAGGATAGCAGACTGTGCTTTGTCAGTTATAGTAGGTGGCTAATTCTCTCCTTAGCTCTTAGCTAATTGCAGGGGTAATGTGCTGTGGAGTCTCCTGCAGGTGTGAAGCAGCAGCTGTGGGTTGCAGTAGTGTTCATGGCTATTGTACCTCCCCTTCCATGGGGGGAAAGGCTGGTAAATCAGTGTGACAGGCTGTTTACATCCCCTCATCAAGCCTAAGGCCTCCTGCAATCCTTACTTGGGTAAGGGTTTTGCTTTAGGGATGTGTGTGTGTGCATGTGCACCATGCTTGCAGGTGTTGGCAAAACGGTTGAACAAGCTGCATGCATGCAGTGTGCCAATATGAAGCTTTTCTAGGAACAAGTATTTTGTTCGTGGTAGGAAATAATTTAGCCCAGGGGCTCTAGCCCCCATACTGGTTTGCAATTCCAGATGTCATTTCCTGCAGGTTAGAAGATGCATACTTTTCAAAACAAGCACTTCATATAAAAAGTAAACCAACCTGTTGTTTATACATGCAAGAATACTTTGCCAGTAGCAAGTTATGTTCTTTTACCCTCCTGGAGACTACTCACATATTTTCCTCTCTGTGCCCACAAAATCTGATATATTAAAAGAAAAAAAAAGACAAAACCCAGCAGGAACATTGCAACCATCTCAATATTTTAGTCTCAACTAGACATGTTCTATTTCTCCTGCTGAAGCAGCTTATCCCCATACCCATGTGTGGAAACACTGGACTTACATGCTTGCTGGCCAGCCTCAGTTAGGTTCCTGGAGCTCCAACTCTTACTTATTCATTTTTTTTCTATTTCTTACTTGTTTATTAACTTAAATGACTTTTCCACAGTGAAGTTTTGGCCTCATGTTTCTTGCATCCTGCTTGTAGTGGAACAAATTGCTCTGTCCTGGGACAGAGCAGTTTCTGTTCAGATGTCTCTTGCAGGTGTTCCAGGGCAAAATCCAAAATCTGCTGCCAAAAAAAAATGTGGTAATAGTTTGTCCTGGGATATTGTAAAAGAGTCTGAATGCCTGTCCCCAGATGATAGGATAGCAGACCTAGGTATCTTACTGTTGGCACTGCATTTATGACTCAGATACCTTGTTCTGTGTGGACCCAAACCCTCAGACCAACCACAACTTCTCTATTTGATAATAGGCAAATTTTATTGATACACAGTGATAGCAGATAAGAATAATGCAAACAAATCTATATCTACCAGTCCTAGAGCTGTCAGAGGGAAGGTACATCTGGCCAGTACGCGAGCTTCACGCTGAGGTTCTTTCGTGAATGTCAGATGTCAGCAGCCTGGAGGTCAGAGGCCGAAACTTGCCACCCCTTGTGGGGTGGGTGAGACAGGCTGGGCTGGTGGTGTCCCCTCTGTCCATGGTGGTCTCGGGTTTCCCTCTCAGGGACCCTTTGCTGCTCTGAAATCCCTCTTTTTGTATTCTTTCCTCCCTTTAATGACTCTTCACTCCTGGGCATCATTGATTAGTTTCCCTGTGGTCATCATCAGGGATCCTGCTTTTTTCTGATTTAAAAATATCCCCAATTTTCAGGTAAAAAAAACCCAATGTAATCCCAAATCCACATTTTTCCATGACTTGAATGAAAAACCACTTATATCTATATATGTGTGTGTATAAGTAACCCCCAATCCATATTTTTCTGTGAGTTAAATGAAACACCACTAATGTATGTATGTATGTATTTATGTATGTATGTATATGTCAGGGGTGTTTCATTTAAATCATGGAAAAATGTGGATTTAGGATTATTTTTTTAACCAAAAATTGGGGATTTTTTTTTAATCAGAGAAAATCAGAATCCCTGCCATCATACTTTCCATGTTCTGTCTTGTCAGCATATTCCCTTGTTTCAACAAACCTATCACATGAACGCATCTTAATTTGAGCTTTTACCAGTCTCTGTCCCCCAAAGCTGAAAATCCAAAGGGCTCTGCAGCTGGTCACCGTGACCTGGCTATTAATACAGCAGAGTCCCTATCTCTGTTATGGAACAGTGTGGTACGTCTTCAATATCCCAGCCTGTGTATACCTGCTTGTCCGCTGGCCTTAGACATAGTGTTTGCTGGTTCCAGACACAATTGGCCTTGAAGGAAAGTTGTCACAAACAGGCTTTTAGAAACCAATGAACTCTTGTCATTCCCCTGGACCATTGTTTTAATGCATGTCCACTGATGAGCCAATTCCCAAAAGCAAACTCTAAATACCGTTTTCTAGCCATCACTCACAAGCTACTGTTTTCATCCCATTCCCAATCCCTCTTCACTCCAGGGCATGTGTATGCAAACATCCCCTCACAGCTGTTCCTGCAACAAAAATGATATCTGTTTCTAGCCTCAGTCCTCAACTGCTTTATTTTTCTCTCTCTTACTCACCGTGCCTTTCCTTTTCCTCCCCTTCCCCTACCCTTTATATTCTCATCACTGCTTTCTATTTAGGAGCTCTGCTTCCCTCAGTCATTTCATAGCATCTAATGAAGTAAGCTGCTGCTTATGAAAGCTTATGCATCTATTTAGTTATTTTCTAAGGTGCAAATCTACTCTGCTTTCCTTCTGCCTAGAGACATAAAATAGAGATACACAAAGAAGGGTTAATGTATGGAATGATCTAGCATGTCAGCCAGGGGAACCAGCTTTAATAAATGCAGAAAGGCATTAGATAAGTTATTTGGAAGAAAAAACATTGTAGATTATTTTTTGTTTCCCTTCATTTCCCCATGCCCTAGAATCCTCGATCTGTCAGGTATGCAGTATATCAAGCATTAACTATATTTTTTTCATTCAGGAGTATTGGGCTCTGCAGGACCTTGCTAAACACAAGTTCTTTTCCAACTGGGTTACTATGTACCTCTTAAGATTAAGACGGTAAGGTCAATGTATTTTCAAATGAAAAATAACAGCAAAAGTATATTTACTATGGAAGAGAAGCAGAGTAAACTTAATTTGGGTCAGATATTCTATAAGCATTTCCTGTAAATTGACTCCAGGCATACATTCACATGCCAGTGTTGTAGGCATACTTCCATATATTGCTAGCTGCCAGGGTAATAGTATTGTTATAACCTTTTTGTCTGAATATAGTATAGTTTTGCTCTGAAACTGCTTTGTAAAAATAACATCAGAGGTTCCATATTCATTATCTTCTAGTGTCTTCATATCAAATGGTCTCCGTTTACAAGTATAGTTCTTTTTTAAACTGCCAACCCTGCAAACACAGTCTGGGGTCTGAGTGTCTAACTGTGTTTCATTGCTTGTAATACAGAGATTCTTCTGGCCAGATGTCCTTAGATCCCTCTGTGCATTCTTTTTGCCTTTAGGAAGGGAAGGAATGGGTCTTGCACAAATACGATTTAATGTGTCAGTGGAAGATAGTGGCACTGGATAGTTGCCATGTGGTTGGAACCAGCCAATAATTCTGGCTGACTCTTTCATAGGTAGGCTTGCTCTGCAAAGCTGGCAGTAATAAAAAGAGTAATATCAGACAGTTTAAAATTAAGGACTGTAGCTGTAAATCTCAAGGAGCAAATACACTCAGGAGCAGCTCTGGGGCTCCCTCTGTGCCAGGATACACAGGGAAAGCAGTGGAAAGAAGGGGCAGACAGGGAGGTAAGTGATTGGGGGGCAGGCTGCCTTCTCCCCATGCTCCTTGCCTCCCTGCTGTCCTTGTCACCTGCCCCCCATCCCTGCTTCCTTGCCACAAGGTTTGGAGGGACAAATTTAAGATGACTTTCCAATAATTTGATTCTAGACATGGACAATGATAATGTCTAGAATCTAATTATTGGAAGGCCGTCTTAAATTCAGTCATCTTGGATTTGGGTAAATGCAGTATTCACTTTTTCAGAGGATATTCACACTTAAGAGGCCAAGTCTGCTGCCATTAAAACAATAGCAAAAATGCTGTTAACTAATGGAAATGCCCACAAATCTGATACTTACTGCTAACCATTCAGAGAGATTTGTAATTTGCTATTTGTGCTTAGGGAAAAAGTATTTTATATGTGCATGTGAGTGCATAGAGTTTAGGAAATTAGGTCTACTGGGTGAACCAAAACACTTTTAGATTCCATTTAGTTTGGGAGCCACTTTGCACTCCATGCATTATTTCTAAGGGATCCAGAGGGACTATATATACTTCGAGAATCTAAACAATTGGAGACTGAGTGATGTCTTGGGAAAAAGTTGGGAGAGATGTTGAAGGAAATGTAAACATGTCAGGCATATGTTTGTTTTTCAACTGATGAAATTACTCTTTCTCTATTTACAATAAGATGATTATTGTAATGGAAAAAAAGCAACTAAAATGAAGTACAATAGGAGAAATGAAATGCTTAAAATTAATGTATTTTACTTGTTTTTCATGCATAGTAACAAAGGTGATTCAGACAGTAAGAGAAGAAAAAGAATGACAAGTAAGTAAAAGAACAGAAGAGATTATAATTTTTCAGGGCATTGGAAAAGGTCAGGTGACAATTTTATTCACAAATATATGCTATCTATGTGCTTAGCACTGTTCATTTAACTAATTTTTGTGGTTATGACATATCACTCATTTAAATGATTCAAGTCCTTCAACAGCTGGAGTATCAAAATTGCCTACTACAAATAGAAGTACATACATTTTCTTTCTTGCTGCTCAGAGGGAGACTGTATCTGATAATATCTTCTAGGCCTCTTGGTATAGATTCAGATAAGGTTCAGGTTCAGATTTTTGACTGAGGGGTAGGGACTTGATGACAGAGTCATTGTATTTTATGGGAGTCTTTCACCTTTCTAGGCTAAATCCTCAAGAAATCTGGAAGATCTATCACACTTGTAGATGGCTTCTAACTCCACAGTTCATGGCTCTTCACAGCTAGTACTTCTTCCTTTTCTGGAGCACTGAAACATATCACATTTCAATGAAAATGAGAAATATAGGCTAGATTTTGATCTCAGTAGTTATAGTATTACAAATATGGAATAACACTGTTTGTGTCAGTAGAATTAGGTCAGATATACATCAGTGTAGTTTTTAGATCAGATTTCAGTTATATGTATTTATTCATACCTCAGAATGATCAGTTGGTTGTAAAGTTCATGGTGCAAAATGAGGCTTTATTCTTTCAGACATCACTGCTTTAATTCCTGATTTCTGAGTTGACGTGAATTGAATTAAAATGATTCACACATCATCCCAACTTTTGTTTTGTATAAATTATTAGTTTTTTTTCAATTCAGTTCAATTCAATTCAATTTATTAAGGATTCTGGCTAAAAGCCATGCTCCCAAAAACAACATAACAGACATACAACTATAATATAAACAAAAATAATAGAAATGCAAATATAATAATAAAACAGGGCCAACCATTATAAAAACATTATTCCTACTCCTACTTTAAATTAACTATATCTAAGCCTCTCTATAAGTATGCAGTATTAAATAATATCACCTTTTTTGCTTTGGCAGCTTACTTTAGGTGAAAAATATTCATGAACAAACAGTTACTACTTAATGGTTTTCATTTTACAAAGGTCAGCTTCATTATATGATTAAAGCCAAATATTCTCGTCTGTGAACAGTTATTTTAAATGGCTCAAGTACAGTTCCCACAGTGAAATTCGCTCTAGTTTGCACACATATTTACACATACTCATGTGCACATATGCTTTCTGTAGGACAAGTAAAACAAGATACAGTTGGGGATGAATTTAGCTCAGTATATAAGACAAAAAGGTGGAGTTTGGTTTGATTCTGATAGCTAGATTCAACGCGTCTGCCATCCGCAGTACAGATACCACTGGGCAGTAACATGACATCGGAAGATAGTGAGTAAATCTGTATTGCAGCTTTGGATCTTCCAGTGTTACAGGGGACATTTACAGTATCTGAAAGAAATCTTAAATATTAGAGAAAAATAGAACTTTTAAAATTATCTTTCACTTTAATAGTGCAGTAGCACTTTCAGTACAACCCTTTTATATAAAGATCTTAAAGCACTTTACATTACTAATCAGCAAACTTGTCTTGTGAAGTAGGTTAATGTTGTTATGTTGGTATCCATTTTATACATGGGAAAACTGGGTCTCATAGTTTAAGTGACTTGTTCAAAATTACCAAATAGATCATGAAGCATAGTGATAGTTGATTGTGATAGTAGTGCTAGTTGATCCCAGGAATCCTAGCTTCTAGCCCCTAATAATCACTAGACCAGGTCTCATCATGCTTTTCTACCTAGAATTTCATTTATAAAATATATAATAGAAGGATACATTTCTGTTGTGTAGGCATTACTGAAAACTCAAAGTTTGAGTGCCTTCCACATAAAATTGATAACAGTAGCAAAATTCCTGGTGGACTCTGGAGTTTCTGGCATTTTTCTTTTCAGGGTAAAACTGTACATTTGATAGGGTTTGTATTTTCAGTTCCTTTTAAGTTTTCATTAATTTAACATTTTGTTTGGTTTGGGTGTTTTAAGTTGAAGGGAGCATGTCAATGTCATTTTTGTGGTGGAAAGATCTTTTTGAAAAGGAAAGTTTTACAGCTTTCCTTAAAGAAAATCAGACTCAGATATGCCTAGTCTCTCTGGAAGTTTGTCCTGTAGCTGGCTGTCCTCAACTAAGACTGCTTCAGTTCCCATTTCCTCTATTTTTCCCCCTGGCATAAGATCTGCCAGAAGCCAGAGACAGTGTCTTGGCTCATTCTTCAAATCGTTCCCCATTTCTGATGAGCTTCATATAGTTTGTGTTTGGGTTAGCTTGAGAAATTGCTTCTCAGCCAGTGTCTGATTTCTTGTAGCCATTGCAATCTTGTAGTAGAAGCAATTGGGTAGGTTGTGTTGAGTGCCATCAGCATACACTTATAATATCTACAACAGCAAGCATCAGAATAGAAAGTGCATAGCATCCCTATTCACGGCCCCGTATCAACCGTGAATACCGTGATACTTGTCTAGGCTGAGGGAACCTGCAGCCTCTGACCACTTAGAGGCTTACCAGCCCTGATTTAAATAAAAAAGATGGCACTAGCCATTTATGAATATTAAAGGCACGGCTCAAGCCAGTTTGTGTACCTTCTAATTCAAGCAGGAACAGTCTGTGTAGTAGTGAGAAAGTTGTTCTTTGCTACCTTTCTTTGGCCACAAGGGACTTTTATTTTAACAACACTAATGATATTTGAATGATTTTATTAATAACACTTTTAAAATAATTTTCTATTTGGTAAATTTGAAACAAATCACTTCATTTACTCTATATGTTTTCAGGTAAATTCTTGATCCAAACCCAGGGATGAAATGTGTTCTTCGGATTATCCATTGTTGTTAGCGTTGACTATTCAGCTATTCTATTACCTGTTTAAAGTCAAAGCCTAAAGTGAGAGATGCAGGGAGAGATTTTTGCCTGGTAACTTTGTGGTCCATATTGAACCACGTTACATTTATAAAGAGTTTGTGTATAAATGACCCTTGACTTCTGACAGGTTGTGGATAAAATAGCTTGGTGTGACCCTGGGATCTGATCATACTTCACACCCAAAACATTATAAACTTCACTTTTAATTTACCACACTGCCTTGAAAGATGTGAATACAACTTTAATTCAACCTCTCTAATTGAATCTTCAGTATGTAGACACAGTCCTTTGATAGGTAATGATCGGGCACTTATTTCACAAGCTTTCATTGATTCTTATTCTGTAGAAAAATAGGAGATTACCTTGTTTTTACTTATAAGTTAAAAACTAGATATATGCCATTACTGTGCATCTGCTGGGGGTTGTGACCATGTTCATTTTGAATTCCTATTTTCTCACTGACACAGGTTTCCCTTGCTTTATATGGGTGCTGTATCTGCGAATTTGGTCTTATGCAATGGCCATTTTTATACCAAAAATTTGTTATATGTGAGGTAAATACACTCTTATGCAATCGATGTGGTGTAAGCCTGCAATCAGCTGCTTTGTGCGGTGCATTGTGGGTGTGATGCGGACCAAAAATATCCTGTGTGGATCTGTGTTCCTCGGTCATTGTCTGTGACGTGTTTCTGTAGTTGCCATCCCTATTTTGCTAGTGCCCTGTGCTTGCGTGTGCTGTCTGCTGTTGGTGAGTATACCAAAATTGTCTTGTGAAAATGGTAGAAATAGGTCCGGGGTCAGTACAATTGAAGTCTTGTAACATATCCCTATTTGTTACATTGTAAATTGGGTTCCTTTTATGCAAATTCGAGTTATGCACTGTTTTCCAGGAACGCATTTACAGCATAAAGCAAGGGAAACCTGTATTTCTACTCCTGTTAGACTGTAGTTTGTATAATTCTACCCGAAAAAGTAGTCAACTGTGCATTAACGAGCATGCAGCTATATTGAATTTCATTTGTCTTAGTAGAGTTCATTCATTAAAGTTGCTTAGGTCCTCCTGAACTCCCTCACAGTCTTCTCTAATCTTGACATAACTAAATTATTTCCTGTCATTGGTATATTTTCCTATTTTGCCATTTATGCCCCTTTCCAAATCACTTCATAATGCATTTAAAATAACTGTGATCCTGGTTACATATCTATGAGTCATATTGAAAATTAGCATTGCGTTTCTCCTCTTTGTTTCTCTTTCATAGCTGCCTTCCAGTCCCTGGTGATTCTTTCCCTTGCACTCTGTGATTACAGCTTTTTGTTGGGAATCTTGCCAAAGACTTTTTGGCAGTTCAAATAAATTCTATTTTCCTTTTTATCCACAGTCTTTTTGAGGTGGTCTAAAAAACATGTAGATTCAAGAGGGACAGGTTTCTTTCTACAAAAGCTATGGTGGTTTGCTCCTCTCATAAGTTATTTGTTCTTTTATAATTTGGTTATTAATTTTCTTTTCTACAAATTTAACCTATATTTAATATGATGAGGAAAGGCTCTGTTTCCCTCCCATGCTCAAACATGGTAGCTAATTTTAATAGGAGACTTTAGATTTTCCAGTTCACTGAATCCCAAACCTCTCAGGACATGTCTACTCCATGGCAGCAGGAGGTGTTGGCAAGGACAGGACAGAGCATGCTCCACCCACCTGAATCTGCAAGTATATTTCAAACCCATAAGTACATCAGTGAAGCCCATTCCCACACCCACTTCCAGGCATGTCAGAGACGGGGCTCAAAAGTGAATGCATCACGCTGCACAGTATTCCCCCTACACACCCCAGGAGGCCTGTTAGTCAGTCATGTAAAGAAATCAGGTTGGATATGCACAGTTTCCTCTTGACAAATCCATACGGACTATTCCATATCATCTTATCTTCTAGATACATAGAGATTGATTTGTTTGAAATGCTCCAGTATCTTTCTGGGTAGTGAATTTACACATGAATGATGTGCAATTCCCTGGATCTTTCTTTTTCTCTTTTTAAAAAATACGCACTATTTGCCTTTTCCAAGTCTTCTGGGAGCTTACCGCACCTCCACGAATCCTCATAGATAATAGTCAGAGGTTCAGTAATTACTTCAACTGGCTTTTTGAGTGCTGTAGGATAAATCTTATCCAGCAAGGCTGATCTGAAAACACTAAGCTTATCTAAGTAATCTCTCATGTGTTCTTTCCCTGTTCTAGGTTGCATATCTGCCACTGTGTCCTTGATGTTAGTTGTGTTAGTTATATAAGGGTTGAACTTTTCTGTGAAGATTGAAGTAAAAAAGGCATTGAACACTTCAAAATTTTCCACATTCTCCCTCCCTATTTAGTAGGAGACCTATACTTTCCTTCTAATGTATTTATCAAATGCTTTCTTTTTTTGCCTTTTATGTTCCTTGCTGACCATATAACGATTTGTTTGGGCCTTCTTTGATTTTGTCCATACATGCTCATACTATATTCTTATAAGCATTCTTAGTAATATTCTCTATACAATTTCTTTTTGAGATTCAAGTAATTGAAGAACTCATGGGTCAATCCAAAAGGTCTCTTACTACCCTTCAAACTTTCTTTCAATCAGGATGGCCAGCTCTTCAGCTCTTAATGTCTCTTTAAGGAAAAAAATAACTCTTGACTCATGTTTCCCTTATATTTATCTTGCATGGGATCCTGCCCACCAGTTCCCTGAATTTGTTAAAGCCTGTTTTTATGAAGTCCACCATTTTTATTTTGTTAGTCTTTTTTACTTTCCTCAGGGTCATGCACTGTATCATTTTGTGATCCACTCTTACTCATGTTACCTTCCAGCTTCAGATTCTCTACCAGTTCCATAAAAAATGCCCTGTAACAGTGGGTTGTTAGTGTTTAAAAGATGGTATCATGATGGTGTAATTTTAAAAAATATGCATTTTATGTCATAAGGAGAACTGTACTTACACATTATCTCAGTGCCTCTGATTAAGTTTACCAGTAAAAGCAGCTTTCCCTCTGGCACTGTGCCTTTGGGAGATATAGATTCATTGTGAATAGTGTCTTTCAAACCACAGTTTGCCTAGTTGAAGAACAGCTTCACTTCCGTAATACTGCCAGCTGCCTCTAGCTTGGGGAGCTTAGAGTTCAAAAGCGTAGCCTCAGCTTTACCATATGGCTCCAAAGAAACTTGTTTGTGCCATTTCTAACTAATATCAGTCATCAGCCTATTCTATGCTGCTAACATCCAGTTCTCAGGATAAGGAATATAATGGTACTGAGAGTCACTAAATACTGTATTTTCTGACATACCTCATGCACCTTTTCCCCAAAAATCAGCCATCCAAAACTGAGGGCATTTCTTAAGCAGGGAGGCTGCTTTATTTTTTTTTCAGGCTGGAATAGAAACAGGGTGGAAGCAACACTCTACTTAATGGCTGCCTCTTGTCTCTGACCTCTGCAAGCAGAGGGGATGGAGTCCCGTGTTAACCCTTGCGCAGATGTACATATTGCCTGAGCACTGTAGCTTGTGCCTGAAGTAGCAGTTGGGCTGGCTTAGAGCAAGTGACCCGCTGCATGCAGTCTGTAGTATCTTGTGGAGATTTCTGGTGTGGAAACAATACTTTATTATTTACAGGAATTTTATATAAACTATATGATTGTTAAGTAGCTAGATTTTCAAGGAATGCTAGTTATTAGTTAGACTAATACAATTTTTTAGAAACAGTGAGTTTTATCAGAGAAATCTGTTTGTTGACCTGGGCACCGATTTAACAAAGAAATACAGTGAAGTCCCACAATGGTCTGCCCATGTTGTTCCCCTCCCAAATCAAGGATGTAGTGTCTCATTTGAATTCTGAGGGCTGACCTGCTGTGTACCACACACGCATGCACATCCACACACACACACACACACACACTCTCTCTCTCTCTCACTTGAGGGGAAGATAGCTGCACCTAGTATCAGAATTTTAAAGGGAGGCAAAAAGATTTTGGCAGACTGGTGAGTTCAGGGTTTTTTGTTGTTTTTTTCTTAAGGGGCCGGAGCTTGGGTGGGCAGCGCAGCCATGGGGGAGAGGGGGCTGGAGACAGCGGGGGGGTCAGGGGGCTTGTGGCAGAACCCCCCATGGGGCAGTAGGGGGTAGTGGAGATTGCCTCCTTTCAGGCAGCAGCCGGTGAATTGGGGCTTCTTTTTTTTCCAGAGCCAGGAGCTGGGGCGGGCGGGGCAGCCATTGCCGGGGCTGGGAGAGTGGGCAGGGGATGGGGTCTGTGTGATTTGGAGATTCGACTGATTTGGCAGCAGCCAGATCTGCGAATCAGATTCGGCCAAATCAATTTGGGACAGTGATTCAAATCACTGAATCGAATCACTGTCCCCCAAGTCTGAATCCAAAGTGAATACTAGCTACTTCACACAGGCCTAATAATCATCTCCAATCTCCATCTACCCTGGACTACAGAGCTCTTCTCCTTATCTCCCAGTGTGGTGGGCTTCTGGGCTTCCAACTGTTGCTCTTTACTCTGTGCGCCAGGCCTAGCTACTCCTACGTCACCTCTGACCATTGCTTATCTAACTTCTTGAAAATGAAGGAAATTTCACCACTTTCCTAGGCAGTCTGTTCCACTGCCTTGCTGTTCTGTCAGTGAAGAAGTCTTTCCTGATATCCAATCCAAATTTATTTAGGGAGAAGAGATGAAACAGTTGCAAAGAAGCAGTTTGAAAGTGGACCCATCCTTCTTTCAATCAGTATAATTATTTTGTATGTCCATACCCACAGTCTACTTACAGGAATTTTCTTTGATCTCAGGATCCCGGTACAAGCTTCTTTTATAGTTTGTTTTTTGCCCTTCTGGAAGATATATGCTGAGTTAGTAGTTTCATTTTCAAAGTCTGCCTGACTGCCTCTCAATCTATATGGAACATATCGGAGAAGAAATGTAGCTCCCAGGGGTGTTTCCAACAGATGCTGTAATAAAAGGTGCCATTATGATGCTTCCCCTTAATTAGTTGTTTGAAAGAAGAGTGATAATTTTTTAGCACACTTTCATCCTGGCTTTGTGTAACACACATGGAATAGCACAGATTTCTTATTCTCCTTCTCCTTTATCAGTGTGCAACACAGGAACAATAGAGAGAGCAAAGAATGGATCGATATACTTGCAATAGGAAATATACAATTCCTGGAAATAACAAAAGCGACTATGTAGTTTTGAAATAAATGCCACAAAGGTTGAAGATAGAAGGCTTTTCTGGTCAGCATTATGATGTGTTAATGTAAAAAAAAATGACGTGGGTACAGATCTTTACTAACATCACAAACCTCCCCTTTGCCTTTAAACAATACCCTGGCTTATTGCTGTGATCCTTCATACACAATTGGCAATGGCAAATCATTTGCACTGAGCTTGAGCCCTTCCATTGCAGAAGGCAGGGCAGCTGGCAGAGTGTTCTCTGCAAAGCCTCTGGTACTTGGTAACTTGTTCCTATTCCCTTTTTGTGATCTTGAAGTACTGCGAATTTAGTGACCTTGTTTACACACTGCAGAAGACAGCTGTTTGATACTGCTTTTAGGGAAGGCCAAAAGTATGCTTCCCATAACAATGAAGGCAAAGAAAGGAGTTCCTGCAGGTGTTTCACTGACTGAGTTCCTGCTGGCATGGTTACTTCATAACTGCTGGGAATTCACTGTAATATGTAATCAGCAAAGGTACTAAGATACCTAAAGCCAAGGGTTGGCATCTTATTGCATACTTTTATATGGAAAGAATATAAAAACAATTACACTTCCAAAAATACTGCTCTATAAAGGATTATATTTGAGGGTTCAACTTCTGGGGTGGCACCATGGATCTGGATTGCAGGATACTAATAGCTAATGAAAAGTGAATTAGGGATCAACACTGAAAAATCCTTTGCATCATCATATTCAATTCCACTTTGTTGAATCCTGGTTGCTAACAAATTGATTACTAAAAAAAACAAACCTGTTCATTATTTGGTAAGTACTTTTTCTTCTGGCAGTGGGTCTAAAGTACTAGTAGGTGTGTGATACATGCCTTCTTATAGCTCACAAAAACAAATGTAATTGATCTTTTTTCTAATCTAATTCTAATCTAACAATTTAAATCTTTTTATGTTGTTTTACTGCTGATTGAGTTGTACTAAGCCTTCCCAAGGACCTGTCAGTTTAAACGTCAAAGGAATGTGGGTGGCTTTGATAGATATATATTGAACTTTTTTTAACTGTTTAACAGGATTTTTCTTGGGTTTCAGGTATCAATCCTAGATATGTGCTTAGAAATTGGATGGCAGAGTCAGCCATACAAAAAGCTGAAATGAATGATTTTTCAGGGGTAAAGTATAGATTTGCATTCCATATTATGTAATTTATGAAACAAGCAGTATGTTCATAATGCTATGACCAGTGCTGTACTCTAAGACTATAAACAGGCAATGCAGTTGTGGCACCAGCTGTGCAGCAACATGTCCCCTGATGAAGATTGGTGTGTCCAAATATCACCCATCACAGTGGGTTTAAAGAAGGTGATATTTGGTAAGCTGTGTGGTAAACTGACAATCAGTTGATTATCAGTCCTGGCTGGGACAGCCCCACGTCTGACTGGAGAGTCTGGGGCAAAAGAGGTTTCTCGGGGGAGCTGAGGGGCTTTACCCACTGGGGATTTTAAACCCTGCTGGGAGCTTCTGATCCCCCAGGTCCTGGCAGCATAGCCAGAACTGTTGTGCTTGGGGTTTAAAGTACCCAGCAGGAGAAGCTCTTTAGCTCTGGTTCCCCCCGTCCCTGCCATGGGCAGTTGATTGTTGGCCCATTTTCAGTGTGTTCGGATTTTTTAAAACTATGTATGCCACCCAGGTGCACCCACGGTTTTGACATCCCTGGCACATGGGAACCCTGGGATATGGGATGTCTCCATGATCCTGTTGTCTCTGTGTGCTGGCAATGACTAGAAAACTGTGCATGCTACCCAGCTGGGGGTTACATACCTTTTAAAAACTGTGTGCAGTCAGTTGTGCTGTACATACGTTTTTTAGACATTCCTGACACGTGGGGACCTGGGACTGGGGAGAGGCTCTCCAATTCCAGGGTCCTGTGTGCCAGGGGTCTAGTATGTACCACCATTCTTTGACAGTGCATTTAGCTAATGCACTATAATTGTATAGTGTCCACCTTGATGAAGCAGGACAAACTATTGATAGGTTTTGTTGTGCAAATGTTTTTGGGCACTTGTGGCAGCAAGTGGCAAAGACATCTGTGTTTTTTCCCAGTGTAAAACTTTTCATGTTGTTAAAAGGGCGATGCCTATTCACAACCTAAGAGGATACTACTAAGCAGCTGGTAGAGTATTTCCTTGTTCAGTACAACGCTTAGTTTGGTTGTCATCATTGGCAATCCCTTGATTTGAGGATAATTTGAGCATGGTATAAAATTACAGAGATTTTCTTCTGCCTTGTGTACAGTGACTTATTCCTTTGTTTTCAGGTTCATCTCCTGCAGCAGGTTTTACAACATCCCTTCCAGAGGCAGTCAGTGGCAGAGAAAGCTGGCTACTCACTGCATCCACCAACTTGGGCCAAAGACCTTAAAGTTAGCTGTTCATCCTGATAAAGAACAGTGGAAGCAAAAGAAAATGAACTGGGTCAGAGTTTAAGCCTTCAAACTGGATTGGAGAATCAGGCAGCACCATCCTGCCTTCCCATTATGGTTTACTGCAGGCATGGTTCCTTCAATCTGCTAAGTAACCAGCTTTATAAAAGTCATAAATAGAGGAGAAATGGAGTCCTGTGTGGTTATGCTACTAGATAGATACCAGCATTTACAGCTCTGATCCTCCTGTATATTTATGCATTAATTTGTGTAGGGAAGATACAGTTCTGTCTGGCTATTCTGTTAACCTCTCCACATCTATGCCCCTACAGCTGAGGGCCTGATTAGCTGTTTCCCTAATTTTTAATGACTGGCTAATTTAAAATGTGCCTGACCTATTTTTGTTCCTTCAGTAGCTTGTTCTCACCCAGTATGTCTGGAATATAACTTCTGTTCTGAAAATGGCATTTGCCAATTTGGAGGAAGAGAAAAGTATAACACTTAGCAGGACAGGATTAATATCACAGAAATAGTGACCTGACCAACTTCTGCTTGTTTATCTTCAATGCTGCTTGTTCTTGTATCAAGGGAATAAACAGATGAAGGCTAGAGGGAGACATTCTTTGCAGACTTTGGTGCCGTTCAGGCTTAGTTCAACCCTTCCTCAAGTTTTAGCATTTGACAGAAGTACTGCAGTTTATTGTGCAGTGCTGTAGTCCCTCCAGGGATATCTGCTCAGTTGACATGGAAAAGAATCTTCTTGAAGACATCTCATTATATAAATTTAGATCAAGATGCTTTTCAAATCTTCCACTGAGCCACCTGATACTGTGAAAGTTTAGCAAAAATGTTACAAAAAATGCGGATACAGTTGAAGGCATGTGACTTAATACTGCTGCTGTAGACTTCCCATTGCTACTGCTTGAGCTTGCCTTTCATTATTAACACCCCAGCTTCATCCAAATGAAGACAAGCTACATGAAATTTCATAAGAGTGTTCTTATGACAGAGTAAAATCCTTCTGGCTGATCAGATTATTTAGGAGATCAGCTATTTTGAAGATCTGAGTGTGTAGGAAGGAGGTGCTCTCAGTTCCATGGGTAAATCTAGAATTTTGAAAAGTAGGAGTACAGATGGTGAGGTGCATTATCACATATGAAATAGCACATTTTTCTCCAGTTAAAAATAAATGAGGAGCTTTACTAATATGCTAGAGGCCTAGAGCTGTATTGATACAGAAACAAATGCAACTTAATTAGAATGAGTTAAAAACAATCTGTAGGGCTGTGAAATAGAAGCATCATTACCAGGAGTAGCTAGCAGACAGCAGAATTGCAGAAAAGGGCTTGCTTGATTGGTGAAACATTAAGACTATAAACAAAGAGAGGGTCATTAACACCTGTGGGATGAAGAGTTTAGAAGGGATCAGGTAGATTGCAATGAGCCATGAACTCAGTTGAGTCCCTCAGCAGTGTCTGACTAGAAATGCTGCTGCTACTGCCAGGCAGTTGGTTTTAAACTTTGAGTAGAGAGAGCAGGAATGAAAGGGGGGTGTAAGTACACCAGTGCAATCCCCTGGATCTGCCCCTGCTTACTTCCTAAACCTATTCCTAACATTGTTTCCATTTTTCATACACCTGAAATGACTGGTTTAGAAAGTCCAAACTTCTGTAACATCTCTTGGTTCTGAAATAGAGACCTTTGAGCAGTATAATGACTGTTCCACACACATGTCCATCTTAGATTCTCTCTTCATTACCTCTATCCTACTGAGGATTTGGTGAAAATGGGATGATTATTCAGGACAGTATCCCTAAATGCTACAGGGTTTCAAATGTAAAATTTTTGACATAATGTGAGATGATATAATCACACAGTAAATCTAAACCAAAAAATTTGGCACCTGATGCAACAGGAGATCAGAGCAGGAGGAGAAGGAAGTCATGGATTTGTGATTTAACTATATCAGGGGTGCTTAACCCCCAGCCCTTGGGCCAGATCTGTCTTGCAGAGCCATGTTATCCAGCTTGCGGGGGCCCTCATGGGTCCAGAAATTTGTTGGTGGTGGAGCAGTGGCAGCTAACTGGTGTTCCTGTACTGTCAAATGTTCAGACCCAGGGGGAGCCTTGTAGACTGGATAGCATGGCTGTGCATGCTAGATTGAGCATGTGGGGCTGCACAGGGTAGTGTGGGGCTGCCTGGGGCCAACCGGGGCAGTGTGGGGTTGCATGGGGTTGGTACAGGGTGGCATGGGGCAGTGCAAGGCTGATCAGGGTGGCATGGGTCTGAGTGGAGTGATGCAGAGCCAGAGAGAGGTAGTGCAAGGCCCGATCTTGGCCAGCAGGGCCCAGTTCAGCCCAACGGGGCCAAAAGATTAAGCACCATTGATCTACATGGCCAAAATCAGGAATTTCTCTACTCCAGGGCAAATACTGCACAATTTTGATCATGGGCCAAAGCCTTCAGGTATGCTTTATTAAAATACCTTTGTCTTCCAGATAAGGTGCAACAGTTGCTGGTGGTAGAAGTTATGTGGGGGATGAGAGTAATGCTAAGGCATTTGGATGATTTTGAATGACATTGGGATTTTAATGGGAAGAGATTGGTGACTCGGTGAGTTGGGGATGCCATTTCACAAAAACATTGCAAGATTTTTTACAGGGGCCAAAGCTGTTAACTTCTTTGTACCAAAGACCTTTCCTGCAGGCGTTCTTGATCAAAATATCTGCCTTTCATATGAGGTTCAGCACTGGAAAAAACATAGTTTCCTTCCCAGAAACTCATCCTCTAACTGGCATCAAGGCTGATACCAATAGTCCCCAGGAAGAACTGGTGAGAAGTATATTAGCACCTTTGGTTGAGAGAACTCAGTTGTCTCTAGTGTGGGTATGCAATGCTTGACATACTAGGGCTGTTACTGGAGGCATGGTTAGAAATGGCAGTCAAGCGTACTTCTTTCCATCTCCTGTTTGGGACTAGAACACGTTGTTGTAGTTCTCTCTGTGTTTGTCACTATAAGATTAAATTTCTGTAATGTACTGTGCATAGTATGACCCCTGTACAGCCTTGAGAAGCTGAAGCCAGCATAGAATGTGGCAGGTTGCTTGTTAAGGGGAATTTTGCTTCAAGATAAGACAGCATTCCTTATAAAAAAGTGCCTTATTACCACAGTTGGGATTAGCAGAGGTGTTCAAACTAAGCCCTTCAGCATTAAAGGAGAGTGTTACTGAAAGGAAGGTGTATTCTTCAGCAGTAGAATTTATTCCCAATCTGTTGAACCTTTGACAAGGACATAGGTTCTTAACCACTTACAGAAACCAAAAAAAAAAATATATAGCACAGTGGAATGTGGAAAAGTCAATTTTGCCAACCAAAGCAAAGTTGAAAGGGAAAATTCTGGTTCATTTTGACCCAAGCATCTAATCAGTGTCTTGCATATGTAGGCCAGATAATGATGCCCCATCACGTCTCTGCCCCATGGAACAATAGTGAAAGTGTGAAATATGATGTATGTCTATAACACTCACATTTGAACACAAACATCACGTTTTTCAGTAGCAGCAAAAAGTGACTTTTACTTCATCTTTGGTGTATGGTTAAAGGGCAACTCTTATATATTATATAACATTCTTTTACTGTGACCTGATCCAAAAACCCACTGATGCATGCCAGAAAGCTTTTGAATCAGGTTGTATGCATAATTACACGTGAGAGTTATCACAGGACATAACGCATGCCATTAATGTTCCCTTTTGTAGTAATCAAACTGGAACTTTTTTACCTTGACAAATTGAGGATGAAAGTAGGACTAAAAGCATCAGCTTTTCAGTAAAGATGGTAGCCAATCCACTCTTGTATCATCTGGTTTCCCCTGATAAGGACTCTGTCAAAACCTGTTACAGCCAAGTCATGTTGTTCCATGTATTGTCTGTCTGCTTTTATTACTGTTGATCACAAGATGCTGCTGACCTATTTTAAAACCTTGTAAGGGTGGACTAAGTCCTGAAAAACTGCCTTTAGGAACTCCCAGATGATCTCATGGGCAACTTGCACCTTTTCCCTGGCAGTTCTTACTCATGTATTCAACCCTTGTATCGCAAATATAGAGTAGAAGATGTTAATATTAAAGACTGCGTGGAAGACATGCTGGTATTTCCCTAGCTCTATCAGTTACTATAAATTGTGGCAAACTTGGATACAACTGAGCGATAACTTGAGATTTGAATGGAAGCCACATTATATTAAACTATCCAGTGAGTTCACAAGAAATTATGAGTCTTCATTTCCACTGAGGATATTCTGCTCACACTCTGTTTCTGTCACTAAGCATAGGCAATGATGTTTTCCAACTATCTCAGTGATTGAAAAGAAACTGGATGCTGCACTTTATGTTTTGGATCAAGTTTAACCTGTTAATGGAGTGGAGATGCTGGTATGAAGGGGCAAAGCATTGTGAGGTACTTGGCAGGAATTGCAGTCTCATTTTATTAGGAAGGTATCATTCCCTGAGTTTTCAAGGCAGTATTGTATCTCTGTGTTATTGGTCTCACTGGTAGATACGTAGAGAGCAGTGGGAATAAATGATGTGATTGTTGCCTACCCCTGACAACATATAATCTTATTGTGCTTTATCTGATAAATAAGTCTCAATCATCTAAATCAGGGCTGTCCAACTGGCAGTCCATGGGCTGTATGTGGCCTGTGAGGGCTTAATCTGAAGCCCCCTCATCTCCTGTCCAACAAAGCGAGAGGGTCATCCATCTCTGGACTCCCCATTCCTCCACCGGCTTCCACTTTCTGCACTTTCCTCAGAGGGCACTGTGGCATGGCACAGCCTGTGGTGTAGGGTGTAGTGCAGAGGGACAGTGTGCAGTCAGAAAGCTAAGGATGAGGCCAAGACTCCTGAGTGTGTAGTAGAGCAGGGGGTTGCCCACAGCTTGCACTGGTGCAGCCAGCTCAGCATGCAGCCCCCAGCTCCTTAGAAGTTGGCCAGCCCTGATCTAAATCATTATAGCTTATTCCTGGAGTTTTCCTTTAAGGCTGTCTGCTCATTTTTTCAAACAAAGCTCCCCTTTTACAACATCCATTGTTAGATATTTGTCTGTGTAACTACGAATGTAAAATACCCTTGTGTCGTGACAGAGCGAGCAACAAGATGGGGAAATGAGGCAGAGGTCTAAGTGTTCCTCTGAGCACAATGAATGGTACAGAAACTGCAATGAGTCTGACTTAATTCATCAGCTCAGAAACTCAACAATATTAATGTTTCATCAACATAATGTGCTTTATTTGTGATAATAGGTGAGTGGTGTATAAAAGAAGAAGCTATTTGGTATAAAAATGATCAGATAGCAGATGTTTTCATGGGTTTTTTTTAATACCTAATTACTCTTCACAAAATGACATTTGGCTCCTTAACATTTTAGATGTTTTTGCACAGTTAATATAATTAGAAATACAGTACAGTCAGGTGTTTGCAATCTTCTTTCCACCCCCATTTTAACTTTACTTACTTGTGTCTGTCTGATCAATAAGGTTATTGCTAAGGTTTCTATTTGACTGGCCAAGCTCATTTCAGTAGCATTTCTCAGTTTGGAGATGGTGTCAACTTCCAAACTCCCAACCCAATCAATTCCAAACATCCAGGTAATGCTCTATTAGACATCAGTGAGCAGGGCCACACAGACATTTGTGAAAATCAGAAAACCAGAAGAGGCACATGAGGAACATGCTGCTCTGTGGCATCTGGTTAGCAGAGCTGATGCCCTCAACTACCTCTGTAGTTATCCACAGATTGATGAACCAGTCGGTGGCAGTCATTAACACTCTGTGTAACATTCGTCCCTTAACTCTACCCTGCTCATCCTTTTAGTAAAGTTTAAATACTGACAATCTGAAAGAGGAAGTAGAAGAGACAGAGAATGTACACTTGCCTATATAATATCTATTGCAGAATAACTCCATATGTGGACATACTTACTGCAGAAAAATAGTGCCTTGGATTTGACTGACAAATTATTTTCTAGTGTAATTCTATTGCAGCCATCAATTCTATAATATAAATGAATGGAAGCCAATATATTTGCCTTGCTTCAAACACTGGCAATACAAAACATATTCATTATAAATAGCTTTACAGGATAAGCTGCCTGAGAGGGAGAAGAAACAAGTGACAAGACCTCAAAGACAAAATCTTAAAGTACTTGAATTTGCCTGCTACCACATTTCAATACAAATGTTTGCTCATTAAATTTGACACTTTGTGCAGATATAAAATAGAAGATACTTTTATTTGAGCTCTAACAGCAAATGCTATTCAGATTAACAAGGAAGAATTAAATTGAATCACAAATGAGGAAGACTGTAGGTAGAGACATATTCATACACAGGCATAATATGTTTTTATAAAAATGTATGTCTTTAGGCACAGTTGAAGACCAATGCTAACAAGTATGGGGGAAAATGCTAACCAAGGGAAAAAATAACAGATTTTTTATCTTAAAGTGGTTTTGTCTAAAATAATTAAGATAAATGAAGTTTATAGGTTACAGCTTTGATTGCTGACAAAAGTATTTTTAACCATGCCTGAGAACATATCAGTCTAAGCCATTTCAGTAAACGTGGCAGATTCTTGAAGGCACTTGGAATACGCAATGCCACCCAGCATCCTAGAGAGATTCCTGAGTTTGTTTGGTTGTTTGGTTTTTTTTTTTTTTTTATTAAAAATATTTTTTGGGAGAAAAAATGACTTTTTGATTAAAATGAAGAAAAAAATATTCAATTAGGGTAAAAATTTCAGTATTTTTTAAAAAAATACTTCAAAAGTGAAAATTTTTGTTTTTCAATTTTTTGATAAAACTAAATACAGGAAATTTACATAAAAACTGATTTCCTCCAAAAATTTTCCATGGAAAACAATTTGTGTGTTTTGATCAGCTCTAATCTCACCATAGAAATGGTACATTTACTCACTGGGATTGATCCAACTAGTCCTGCTGCCAGCAATCTTAAGCATTCAAATGGGCTGAGGAATGAGATAGGGGCCAAATTTATTGCCTCAACCAGCAGTGCTTGCTGGATCAGTGAATGGCTGGGGCGGAGAAAACAATGGTGTTCTGCCCCATTTCTCTGGATCCCCAAGAGGAATTCTGATCGTAGGCAGAATTCCTCCAGGGGCTCCTCTTCTAGCACCCCTAGCATGACTTCCCACAACAAGAGCTGTAGCTTAAAGTTTGTTCATCCAATGGACTTCAGGATGTATTACTGCCCCTCTTTTTGTCTAGGGCTTTCCTTAGATCAGACATGAAATCTAGTTGTCCACCTTCAACCCCAGTGGACTTTGTCTCCCCTACTTGTCCAGTATTCTCTTGCCTTTTTGGAGCAGGTGGACCAGGCTTCCCTGTCAGTGGTAATGGTTTACTGGTGCCAGAAGCTGGTGGAGATGGAGGTGGAGGTGGAGGTGGAGGTGGAAGGGGTGGTGCCAGATCTCCAGTGCTGTTGCTAAAGGAAGGTGGTGGAGGGGGCACAAAATCAGGAGGAGACTCGTAGAAGTCAGGTGGTGGGGGTGGCAAATCACTTCCCATGTCAGGCGGTGGTGCTGGAAATGAGATAGGATCCGATAGGGAAGCTGTGCTGCCTCGCTTGGCTTTTGAGGGCAGACAAGGTGAAGATACAGTTGCTGAAGATCGCCGTTGAGGTGGGGGTGGAGGTTGCAAGGCCTGTTTAGCTTGGGGGTTCTGTGGCCTGATGGTTGGCTGTGCTGAACTAGAGTTGTTGACAACATTTGGTTTCTTTTCCTTTAATAAGCAGAGTGAAATGGTCAAAGGGCTGGTGTTATGGGAAGAATATACATGAACTAACGTTTCTGTCACATGATTTGAAATGGCATGAACATGCACAAGATATTTTCAACATTTTTTACTACCACAGAGCTAACAGAAACCAGAAAGTGTTTGAGCCAGGCCTCCCTCAGCATAGCATCACAGTGGGAAAGGTGGCAGATGGTCTCTGAACAAAGCTTCCTATTGTCAGCATCTGCTGGGGGTTCCAATTATTCTTTTTGATTATGGGGTGATAGATAAAAAAAACATTTTGCAGTACCAAGCACTTCTCCCTTTAGATTTCATTATTTCTGTGGAGACTGACAAAAGCCAACAGCAGGGATGATTTATTTTATAAAAATGCATGAGAAGCTCAGTGTATGGTACTGATAGGAGAAGCAGTGGGCAAACTGCAAAGTGTGCGACTGTATCACTGCATCCTTCTGGATCCACCCCTGCCTCTGAAGGACAAGGACAGAACTTTCCCCTTGCTGAAGGCCACCTTTGTGCTGGCAGAAGCTTTCACTTCAGTTTGCAGTGGCAATAGGACATTACAGAAACAAAAAATCCCATTGAAGTTTGAATAAACTTTCAGTAGAAGCTCTGTCCTTATAGCTTTTTCACTCATGCCTACAGGTAAACTATATTAACTGCATTATAGTTATTGGAGGACTCATCCATACAGATTGTCCCTGAGTTGGGGGGAAATAAAGCAGGCATGGGTTATCTGCCTCTCTTTCCTATGTTATAGTTATGTTCTCTTCTCAAGATGTTATTCCTATTTTTAATTTTTTTTAAAAACTAATGTTAAAATAATGAAAACACCAGCTGTCTTCAGTGGATTGTGACATTTAGCTATCCTGGCATACCATGGCATTGCATCATCCATGGGGATACCAGAGGTGAACTCTGTCTCTGGGAGCAGGGTCCATCTTCATGCCCCTGGGAGTGGGGTTTCAGTATACATGCTGCGTCTTCTCTTGAAATGGGGTAGTGGGTTCCCTTCTGTGTGTCTGTTCAGCTTTATAAGTCATTGAAGATTGAAGCAGGGCTTTGGGTCTTTGGTCTTGATCTGGGGGCAAAGAGGAAAGTCTGCTACTGCTGCTCTTGCACCCAGATGAGGACCAGTAACTATCTGCTGTGTGTCCTGCCTTCTGTTCAAGTAAGATTTACCTTCTGTCCACTTTCCAAAATATGGTAAAAATGACCAGAACCCTTTAAGCTCTAGAAACATTCATCCCAAAAAGGTAATGTGTGCAGGTCCTTTGATTGCTTCCTTGAAGCAAAAGTGAAGGCAAATACCCATCATACAAGTTAAGAAAAATAAAGCATTGGTTAGCGGTCATTAGGAATGTGTTTGCTTTGGCTGAATGTTACCCAAACAATCATTCCCAGTGTGCCTGCTAGTCCATATTCTGAAGATTAACACAGCCCAGTTGGCAAAACCTGAATGTATTCCCTCTTCAGTGTGGGTGGGTTTTTTGACCCCAGGAAATTCCAGGGTCAAAAAAACCTGTGTGGAAAAAAAGCAGGGTGGTGCATGTGGTGGCAGTGTGCACTGCCCAAAACTAGAGACTGGCCCACCAGAGCCATGCTCCAGCTGCCAGCCAGGCTCCCAGCTGCAGGAATGCCATGGCTACAGCTTTCCCAGCCCCGAAAACCCCAGGTAAGGCTGTTGGAGGCAGCAGAGTTGCTGGCCCCAGCCTCCCCTACTGCACCTGGGGTAACCTGCCACACATCAGAGCGTGCATGGCACAGGCATTCCCCAGGGACAAGTAGCAGTGACACGCAGCAGTGACACAAGGTGTGCCGCTGCTTCTTGTCCCCAGAGAGACAAATGTCTGCGCTTGTGTGGACACTGCCACCGTGTCTCTGTGCTGTGAGGAGGGAACTTGGGTGGCTGGCTTCTACTGCTGTTGCCCAGCAGTTCTTGGCTTTTGTACTGTGTACATGTTTCATATGTATTGCAGAGTTTAGGAGCGGTAGGGTGGCAGCAGTCGGAAGAGTCAGTTATCCACTTTTTCAGACAACAGAATGGTCGCTCCACCATCACTATCTCTTAATACTCTAGTGCAAGGGTGGCCAACAAGTGGCACAGGTAGCTTCTGTGTATAGCACATGGCAGATTGAGTCAGGCAATACAGCAGCAGATTGGGCAGACCACAGGGAAGGATGAAGGAAGCAGAACAGTACATCAGACAGAGAGCACAGTGCTGGAAGCAGAAAGAGCAAGCAGGAGAAGGAGGTAAGAGTGG